TGGTATTGGCGGTAGTGAGATTTGTAAATCAAAAATCCAAATAAAAAATTTCAACTTTTATTTTCATTTTTTTATTTTTGAAATTTTATATTCTCATTTTGGATTTTCAAATCTCACTACCGCCAATAAAATAAAAGTTTAAATTTTTTTTTTTGATTTTTTATTTTTAAATCTCACTACCCTCAATACCACAGTTTAAAAATATAAGTTGAAATTTTATACTCAAATATCACTACCGCCAATACCACAGTTTGAAAATAAAAGTTGAAATTTTATAGTCTCATTTTGGATTTTCAAATCTCACTACCGCCAATACCACAGTTTGAAAATAAAAGTTTCAATTTTATATTCTCATTTTGGATTTTCAAATCTCACTTTTTATTTTTTTCATCAATTTCACTACCTTAGAACTTGACACTTTATACTTTTATTTTATAAAACTGGGGCATTTTATACCTACAGTGACCCCCTTGACTGATTTGCCTGATTGGGGAACTCGTTAAAACCACAGGAATATTTGAAAATTCTAAAGGTTAGATTTCCTGGCAAAGCTGTGTTTCCAAGCTAGTACATAATAAAGTAACAAGAAAATACAAGAAGACAGCTCGTCTTTTCACGCAGCATCGCTTGTAAAATTCTTCTTAAATAAGGTAATGGTGACTGTTTAATTAAAAAATATTTTTTGTTGTTTTTAACAAAGTTCAAAACCTATGAAAAAAGAACTTCTATTAAGTTTCCCTTGAACATTTTATTTTCTATTGTGAACCATACCCCTCAAATTTACCCTGTTGTAAGGTCGTCTCTGACAAATTGTATCTCCGTTGGACCCTCCGTCCACTTACCAAACCAAACATTTCCAAGGCTTCTGCGTAAACTTTTCGCCGTGCCACAGTTTTCTAGATTGTAAGTTCCGTATACTTAATTCACAACAATATCTTAAACCTTTTATTTGCCAATTCACAACAGTACCTTTTAAACCTTTATTTATCGATTCACAACAGTAATAACATATGATCCACTAAATCTGCTAAACCTAGAATTTCCAATACCTTTTAAGCCTTTATTTAATTCTCAATGTTACATGTTTCTAAACCAATTGTTCGATTCACATCAACGCCCATTTATTGTTAGTTACCCTTAACTGTTTAATCTTTATTAACAATCATTATTTATACACATGTACGTCAATAACAATTTGTATTTTGTTGTAGGAAACCTCCTTACTGAAATATACATTTTCAAGAAGTTGTTCTCATCTATGTATGGCCGGTAGAAAAGAGTGTTTTCCCTAGCCAATTCGCCTTAGTTCCCTCTTTCGAGTATTATTCCTTTTGTTCGGCTCACAACTATACGTTTGATAAACATAAAATGCGTGATAGAATTGATGCGTTGACCAAATTTGGGAAATTTGGAGTTAATGCGCAATATGTTTAAATCAGTTTCGAAGAAACACAAATCTATTAATTGTACAGAATAGCTTGTCGCTTCAACAATTGGGATATCCAACATAAAAGAGGCTGTCTACGAAATTTCAAGTGATCCTCCGGCTGAACCCTATCGCGATTGGGGAGGAGGGGGAGGTGTTTTCCACACCCTGTGGTTTTCTTCTGAATAACTTAAAACGGCTTACATTTATAGAATGCTAAAACTTATTCACTTTTTGAACATAATGATTCTTGTAAACAAATCTTGCTAAACAATTTTTTTTTTGATGCATAGGTCAGGGTGAAGGACGGTCAAACGGTCAGAAATGGTTAATCACTTTTTTATTAAAAAAGTTACAGTGCTAAGACTTATATATTTGAAAAGCCCTTAAAAAATGGATATCATAACATGTGTCATATGTTAATATTTGTTAAAAGTAAAAATAACTATTTAAAAAAAAATTTTCGACATACTTTTTGAACTTTTTAAAAATCCTCCATTACATTAGGGTGTACCTAACCATTAAAGTTAGAGGTTTAATTTTTATTTTAGAATGAGCAGGCCTTGAAAAATTGGACTAGGGACATGTATCACACTCACAAATAATATTTGGTGAAAACCTAAGTTAATTACAAATAGGTTTCTCTGGGATATCTTCGTTTTCAGATTGGTTGCGTATTTAATCAACATGATCTGTTTAAACCTACCATTTCTGTCCAAATTCATATATATATATATAATATATATCTCCCTCCCGCCTCCCTCCCCCCGCGCCAAAAAAAAAAAATTTGTTGAGAGCATAGATATTTAATTGATTTATTGTATGCACTATAAATATATGCGAAACCAAACCATTAATGCGGCGAGGTTGAACTCATATATTTATGGTATTGACTATAAATATTTTGGTATATATTTGTAGATTTCAAGTTATTTATTGACAAGCATATATTTATAGTAAACACAGTTTTATATCAATTTCACGAGACAGGAACATCAGATATAACTTTCATGGGTCGCGATCAAGAGCTAAATGTGATTAGTTTTCAGATGATGATGTAACAGGTTCCAATGTGAATCTGACATGCAACATCTCTTTATTGGAGGCCACTAAAGTACTTCGGTTCCTTTAATTTTGAAGATTATTACCGTGCAATATCCAATACCATAAGCTATTTAAAATTAAAAAGTTTCAGTGTTTTAATGGATTAAAATTAAAAAAATTATAAAAAGAATTTTAAAACGGCTTATTCACAGTATTTCGTGATCCTTCCAGTAAAAATTGTTTGATTCGGAATAGTCACATCCATTGTTAAAAAAATTGTGTGTTATGTAATCAATGTTTTTAGTTAGTTAACGTTTAAGTTAAATTAACGTAATGAACGCCGTTGACAGTTTTTTTTTTATAAATCCGCGTTCAATCAATACAGGTTGATTTGAATCTTAACGGGTTTCTGTTCATTAACAAAATGTCTCATTAATTTTTAAATATTTAGCTTAAATCTTTCGTATTTTAACGATTAATAATTTTCACAATTTTAAACTCATTTATTTTGTTCAGGACAAAAATGTTTAAATTCTGCATTTTCTGCGTAGTCAGCCTTACTTCTTTGACCTCATCTGAGAGGTCATATCGTTGCCAGGTGGATACTGAGGTCAAATTTATTTTGAACAACATGACTCCATTAGCTGTTAGGTATTAGGTGACCCTTTAAACATGATAATTGATATTACGCAAACTTTTGCGCGGAATTCCGCATATTTGCGCGAAAATGAAGTTTGCGTAAGCAAGCGCAAACGATAAGCAATTCCGCGCAAAAAAAATCCGGCCAAAACAAGAGATGAAACTGCAACAAAATTGCGAAAAATGCTTAATACTACGTGGAAATCTCTACTTATAGCTACCATCCAAAATAAGAAGTTTCATTTATATTATACAGGGTTTCCCACATAGGATGAGACTTCAGAGACGATTGTTCGGAATTTTTAAGTTCGTTTTCTCGCATTCAGGGTTTGTAGGCCAAAAGTGGCTTATTTCTGTGCTTAATCATCTAGTAAAAATACTCAGTTGAATGCAGAAACCAAAATTCAAGCTTCAAATCGGCATATTTTTGGTTTTGGGTCGTCTTTACAGTTTCAATCTTTGTGGGTAACCCTGTGTGTTAATAATTTCTTGGTGATCTATGCCTATTGTTAACTTTTTGTCTGCGTGCAGTTTTGCCTTAGAATTTTATTCAATTTTTCAATCACATTTTTTCGTGCAGTATTTGCGGTTTTTGCTCAGAATTTCTTTAATTTTTTTCGCGGAATTTGAGCTTTTTTTGCGCGGAATTTGCGTATTGCTTAAATTTATAAATTGATCTAAACGCCGACCAGTGGATCTATGTGGAGTTTATCTAGGAAGGAGGTTGACTGTGTAGTAGGTGTGGGTAGCTGTGATGCTCTGGGGAGACGCATAAAGGCAAGAGCAGCTGATGTTGTGCAGCGGCCTAGATGTGCGAAACCGTGCAGCTGTGAGGTACGATTTAAAAACGTCCCCTCCACACGAAAAAAATATTTTAAATAAGATATTGAGGCAGAAGCCCGAGGAAGTTACGTGTACATGCAGCGTTGAGAGAGATCCTTTTCTAGCCGCAGCGCTCGGTCCCCTAGCCTGTCCTAGCCGCAGTGCACGGCCCGGAATGTTTAACCCTATTCCTGCTGGGGGGGGGGGTCAATTTGACCCCCCCTGTAGTTTTTTTTACATAACTCAAAAAGTATTGGTCTGAGGCTGTTGAAATTTTCTGACTTTTCCTACATACCCAAAGCCCTCCCTGTAGGCCTAAAACCAGGCTTTAATACTAACTGCCTGAGTCCTCAGGCACACTGCCTGAATGACTGCTTTTTCCTGTAACAAACTAAATCTTTGTTTTGACCCACTTCCACTTGTCAGATTTTGATAAAATTTAGCTTTTTGAAAAGCCTTTGACATAAGGAAACGAATTGCACAAGTTTTACGAAAAAAAAATTGCAAAATTTTTTGCAAACAACCTGTCAAAGGAAATTTGCACATTTTTAGTTTTTCTTGATAAAAAATTAGGTTATTTAAAATTTTGCAAAATTTTTTGCATATTTGAATTGGTATGGTCAAGGGCTTTTCAAAAATGTATAATTTTTCATTTTTTGGACAACGTTTTTTTGCAAACATTTTTACTATATAACTGGATTTTGCGATAAAAAATTCAATTTTTGCAAATTTGCAAATTTTTTTGCAGATTCTAAAAGTAGAGCACACGAGCTTTCCAATGATGTATCATTTGTCATATTTGGACATCAAACATGGGATTTAGAGGGGGGGGGGGGTTCAAATTGACCCCCCCCCCCAGCATATCCTGGTTTTCAAGTACCCCAGCAGAGATAGGGTTAATATCCTAACCTAACCCTAAAATATATACTTATCTCTCTCTTTTTTATAATTCAACGTGGCAAGCTCATTTTTAACTTCCTCATTTTTATGCTTTTCTTGTGCTGTAGAAGTTCCCACCTTAAGCTGCCATTTTTCTTTGTAAATCGCGTATTTTCCTGTATAAATTGTTACATATTGAAAAATAATATATTTTGACATTTTTCTCGGCAAAATTTTTCCAATTGGATTGTCCATAAACATTCACTGGGGTCATGTGAGTTGCCATAAAATATAGATCAGATCGATTCAGCCGTTTTTACACCCATTGCATACTAACAGTCAGACACCTAAATCATGTTTTTTATAACTTTTTGTCCAAGGAGATAAATGTCCGACTAGTGGTGAACAAAATGAAGAGGAATCACATGGATCAGTGGAGAAGAGTAGAAAACCATTTTAGATAATTCAAGGGTTTAATTTTATCAATAAATTTAAACTTTTATACGTATGCAACCTTTTATTTATTAGTGAAGATAAATCATATACAAACGGCGCATTCCGTTATTCATTTGTCTACTTAAATATGATTGTGTTAAAAGATAAAAAAATTTCTAGCTGAAAATGAATTATTTTAATGTATAAATTTCTATTACTTGCCTAAGGCGAGACAAGAATAACAAATCATTAAAACAAACTTAATTATAATAATTTCAAAAATGAACATTGCAGACATTTTTATGGCTGTTAATCATTTCAAAGAAAAGTGTGTGTGCCATTCCGTTTTGTTCTAATTATACACAATAACATTGAATTATCAGAAAGATGCAGGGTTACCCAAAAATAATGAGACTTCAATGACAACCTGAAACACCTTAATTCTGAATATCCTCAGTTTTTAATATCGTCTTTTATAAGTGTGCTAAATAATTTGACAAAGAAAGGAAGAAGTTTAAAGTTACACGGAACCATGAGTGCAAGAAAAAAGGCTGATGAAATTCCGTACGGTCGTCTCTTAAGTCTCTACTTTGTGGGTAGCCCTGTATTATTTCATAGTCATTTACGACGACATCTATCATTCCGGTTTAGTGACCTTTTGGCAAACATTGGCAAGCGAGATTAAATCAAAACATGTTCTAGATAAAACCAGAAGAAAGAGGTTAAAGGGACAGACCGGCTATGTAAGGTAGTTGAACTGAGTATGCACTGCAGTGGTGTGGAAAAATTCTTTAGGATTCATTATTTGCGGCATATAAAACTTTTTAAAGATCTGTAAATCCTGAGTTTCAGCGCAAAGTCGACGTTCAAAATTGAACTTTTGGGTGGATACGTTTTCAGAATTCCTTTTTTTATTAATAAATAACGACGACAAAAACGCAAAAAAAGTAAACTAATTAGTTGTTTAGGAACACCTTGAGAAAATAAAAATTAATCAAAAATAAGTAATCTTTTTCAATTATTAGTTTCTATTTTCTCATTATTCTGGTTTTTCATTTTTCTCAAAGATTTTCTGGAATTAATATATAAAAGACGACATTTGAAGAATTAAAAAAATCTGCGAATAAATTCAAAGAAAATAAGAAATACAATTTAATGATGAAAACGAAATACTTTGATTCTAGCATAGATTTATTGACAAATTTCTTTAGAGAAATATGTTCCTAACCATCTAATTAGATTACTGTATAATTTTTACTTTATTTTTCGTCGTCGTTATTTAATAATTTTAAAAAACCGATTCTGAAAACATATCCACCCAAAATAACGATTTTGAACGTCGACTTTGCGCTCAAACTTTGGATTTACAGATCTTTAAAAAGTTTAATGAATCCAAAAGAGTTGTCCCAAACTGCATGCTCAGTTCAACTACCTTTAAGGAGAATCATGTTTTTTTTTCAATTATACTATGAGGAAAGACCTGAAACTAGTTTCGATGTAAACAAACATTGTACAACTCACGAAATACGGTTTTTACACAGGGTGTCTAATGTACATAAGAATTAAGCGACGAATTTAACGTCGGCTTTGCTTACTGATAGTTAATAATCAACAAAGGGTGCATCAAAAGCCATATGAGCTTTAAACATTGACAAAACAACAATTATTTGTAAATTAATAAAATTTGCATGTCCTGTGACTAGAAGATTTCAATGGAATACTTCTAACGTTTTGTTCACGCTGAACTAAGGCGATAAAGAAGTCGTCTTTTAATTCCCATGTTCTTTGAGACACCCACCTATCATCATTTTTATTTTTCGTGAACACACACACTTTAAACACACACACGCTCAAACACACTTTAAACATAACAAGAATTAATTTTAATGAAAAAATTAAAAATTCACAATATCGTCTATCTTGTTTTAAATATAAATCCATAAATAAAATAAAACATTAATCTCATTACAATCCAAAAAAGAAAAATATGAATTACAAAATTATCAAATATTATATTTGTAAATTTGTATTTCTTGAATCAAGAATATGAGAAACATCAAACAAATTTATTCCATTATTAACCTTACTTAAATGCAAAGTCTTTAATCACCGAAAGTTCGCAAAAAAAGGCAATCATAATGTAATGATAAAGCACTAGCTCTTAGACGAAAAAAAGAAGTTCAAAAGAATTTATAAAATGTCATCATAACAATTTTTCAGTGGGTTTTATACTTAAATATATACCTAAATCTCAGTGATTCATAATTATAAAACAAAGAAATAACCATGAAATATGCGAAAATATTTTAAGAGTTTCATATAATCATATATTGAGAGTAGATGAGCTGACCATTAATCTATATTGGGAGCAGCTGAGCTAGCCCTGAATCTATATTGAGAGTAGCTGAGCTAACCCTGAATCTAGATTGAGAGTAGCTAAGCTAATCATAAATCATTATTGGGAGTAGCTGAGCTAGCCCTGAATCTATATTGAGAGTAGCTGAATTAATCCTAAATCTATATTGAGAGCAGCTGAGCTAGTCCTGAATCATTATTGGGAGTAGCTGAGCTAGCCCTGAATCTATATTGAGAGTAGCTGGGCTAATCCTGAATCATTATTGGGAGAAGCTGAGCTAACCCTGAATCTATATTAGGAGTAACTGAGCTAGCCATGAATCTATATTGAGAGTAGCTGAGCTAGCCCTGAATCTATGTTGAGATTAGCTCAGCTAATCCTGAATCATTATTGGGAGTAGCTGAGCCAGCCCTGAATCTATATTGGGAGTAACTGAGCTAGTCCTGAATCTATATTGAGAGTAGCTAAGCTAATCCTGAATCATTATTGGGAGTAGCTGAGCTAGCCCTGAATCTATATTGAGAGTAGCTGAGCTAACCCTGAATCTTTACTGGGAGTAGCTGAGCTAATCTTGAATCTATATTGGGAGTAGCTGAGCTAATCCTGAATCATTATTGGGAGTAGCTGAGCTAATCCTGAATTTTTATTGGGAGTAGCTGAGCTAACCCTGAATCTATGTTGGGAGTAGCTGAGCTAACCCTGAATCTAGATTAAGTAGATGAGCTAATTCTGAATTTATATTGGGAGTAGCTGCGCTAATCCTGAATCTAAAGTGGGAGTAGCTGAGCAAGTCCTGAATCTGTTAATGAACTAGAGAGAAGACTAAGCTGTTCCAAAATTTGGTTTGTTGTATTTAGACTCTGCTGGATACTAATGGTGCTCTCCTGAAAACAAAATAATATTTGTTTAAAAATAGTAAATTAAGATTAAACTTTATGCTGAAGCCTCCCCCCCCCCTCTCCCCACATACACACAAATAAGGAAATGAAGCTCCTTTTTCAGTTTGATCTTTCATATTGAAAAAATGTTTTAATTTTCAAAAATAAAACATTTGTTCAGAACAAGATTTTGTAAAAATTCAAATTGTTTAGCTATTAGGATTAAATAGTTATTTAATTTGCATTTATTTATCATTCGTATTTTTCAATTTTTATGTATACTGGGCCGTCAACCCCTTAAATTTTAATATCGTTATTATTTTTACTTATTGTACATTAACTTATAGACATAAGTTCAAGTGTCCCTCATTTCCATTTAGAGAGTGCCAGGCAGAGTGATGGCAGAGAACATGTAAAGATTAGTTTAAAGAAAACAGAAATTAAACATATTAAAGTAAAACAAAGGACTACCATTTAATATTACATTTTTCGGTCAGGGACGACTCTCTTCAATTCTTAAGATTTGTTTCTGTCATGAAGATTCAAAACAGACCAATCTTGTCAATTTCAAATAATTTGTGGCATAAATTAACCTGAATATAAGTCTGTGTAGTTTCGTTCACTTCCTCGTCCACTTTCTTAAGTTCTGCACTGCAGTTCAAAAACTGCTCCTAAACCAAAATATTACTAAAGATGAAAAATGCTAAAAATGTCACTGTTAACCCTAACTCTCTGCTTAGTTAGAAACTAGCTCTCTACTCCTATCTATGTATACCTGGAAACTAGCTTTCTACTCCTATCTATGTATACCTGGAAACTTCCTCTATACTTTTACCTATGTATACCTGGAAACTATCTCTCTACTTCTATGTATTCCTGGAAACTATCTCTCTACTCCTATCTATGTATTACTGGAAACTATCTCTTTACTTCTATCTATGTATACCTGGAAACTATCTCTCTACTCCTATCTATGTATACCTGGAAACTATCTCTCTATTCCTATGTATACAAAGAAACTAGCTCTCTACTCCTATCTATGAATACCTGGAAACTAGCTCTCTACTCCTATCTATGTATTCCTGGAAACTAGCTCTCTCCTCCTATCTATGTATGCCTGGAACCTTCCTCTATACTTTTACCTATGTATACCTGGAAACTATCTCTCTACTCCTATGTATACATGAAAACTAGCTCTCTAGTCCAATCTATGTATACCTGAAAACTATCTCTCTACTCCTATCTATGTATACCTGGAAACTATCTCTCTACTCCTATGTATACAAAGAAACTAGCTCTCTACTCCTATCTATGTATACCTGGAAACTATCTTTCTACTCCTATCTATGTATACTTGGAAACTATCTCTCTATTCCTATGTATACAAAGAAACTAGCTCTTTACTCCTATCTATGTATACCTGGAAACTAGCTTTCTACTCCTATCTATGTATGCCTGTAACCTTCCTCTATACTTTTACCAATGTATACCTGGAAACTAGCTCTCTACTCCTATCTATGTATACCTGGAAACTAGCTCTCTACTCCTATCTATGTATGCCAGGAAACTAGCTTTCTACTCCTATCTATGTATGCCTGGAACCTTCCTCTATACTTTTACCTATGTATACCTGGAAACTAGCTCTCTACTCCTATCTATGTATGCCTGGAACCTTCCTCTATACTTTTACCTATGTATACCTGGAAATTATCTCTCTACTCCTATGTATACATGAAAACTAGCTCTCTACTCCTATCTATGTATACCTGGAAACTATCTCTCTACTCCTATCTATGTATACCTGGAAACTATCTCTCTACTCCTATGTATACAAAGAAACAAGCTCTCTACTCCTATCTATGTATACATGGAAACTAGCTCTCTACTCCTATCTATGTATGCCTGGAACCTTTCTCTATACTTTTACCTATGTATACCTGGAAACTATCTCTCTACTCCTATGTATACATGGAAACTAGCTCTCTACTCCTATCTATGTATACCTGGAAACTAGCTCTCTACTCCTATCTATGTATGCCTGGAACCTTCCTCTATACTTTTACCTATGTATACCTGGAAACTATCTCTCTACTCCTATCTATGTATACTTGGAAACTATCTCTCTACTCCTATCTATGTATACCTGGAAACTATCTCTCTACTCCTATGTATACCTGGAAAACTAGTTCTCTGTTCCTAGCTAGTTCTATGTTAACATCTTGAAGTTTTCTATGAAGAATAGAATTGTTTGTATTACAGGCAGGGTCTCCACATTCTGTTGCAACTATTGAACTACCTCCCAGAGAACCTGGAGAAATGAACTATCTAACTAACTCAATTTATTAAAAGGACTGAAAACGAAATTTCAAGGAAATTTCTGAGAAAATATGGCAAAGCCGAATTCATAATGATACCCATAACACCTGCTTTAATTGATCAATAACGTGGGAAATATTGTCGTTTTTCTAGGTTTAAAAGTGTTCAAGTGTGATAATTCCTCTAAGTTTTCCTGCAGCAGAAATGACAAAGCCACTTTCGTCATTGCAGATAAATCAAAATTGTAAACATATGACATCTAATTCATACTTAATGGACAAAGCTTTCCAACGTACTGTTGTGGATCGGACATCGACATTCTTACATGGAGGGTCATTTTAAATTACGCCTGTAGTCCCTTGAAAGGGATCTGGATTGTTGTAATTTCAACGCTAGCAGAGAACTGAAAAATGTGAATTGAATTTTAGCATTTTTTAAACATTTTTCAAGAAGTTGGGCATTTTCCGATACAGCTTATTAAAAAAATGGTCAACCCCTTTACGTCTTTGCAGGGAGAGGCAAAAATTCTAAAATATTTAAATTTCTGAAAGTAATACTTTTGTTTGTGTTAGAAATGTACTGCCGATCTATGTCTGAGTAGCACTAAGTTTATTTACATTTCTCCCAGAAACTGCAACACATTTAATATGTAAACAAAGATACAAGGGTTCCTCTTTTATATTCCTTGGAACTGGTTAAAGTGAAAACATTTTTGTGAACAAAAATCAATTATTATCGAATTTGAATTTGAAGATTAAAATGAGCAAACATATCAACATTGAAAATTCAAATTCTTAAAATAAAATAAATCTTACACAATGAACAATGAACTCATAAAACAACAAAAAAAATAATTTAAAAAATTGAAATATTTTTCAAAAAATTAATAATTTCTTACTTAATTTCTAATTAATAATTCTGGGGTGTAATTATAAGAATTACACCTCATAAGTTTTTCATTCTTTTATTCTTACACCCATGGGCAGGGGTCATTCTTTTTGATACTACCCGAAAATTAAATTAGTTTCCCCTAAAAATCATTTATATTCCCAAACCCAGAGAATCAAAGCCAAAAAATTCCCGCTCCACACAATCAAACTGAAATTCTCGGGGTAAAAAATGATTTTCTAAAAGGGGGAGGGGGGGAGGAATGATTTTTTCAAGAAAATATACACACTTCCTTTATCCTTGTTGATACTTTTCCCCAAAACAATCATTTATTTCCCCTAGAAATCGATAGTTCTTCCCTAATTCAGAGAAAAAACTCCACCTTTTTCAGTGAAAAACAAATATTATTAAAGAGGGGAGGGGGGGGACACCCTTGAAAATATTTTTATTCTATAAAAATCACTTATTTTATCAAATTTAGCCTAGAACCAGTACTTAGGATCCGGATCCACGGATAAAGATCCAAAGGGTAAAAATCAACCAAAAACTGAAAAAAAAACTTTTTAACTCCTAAAACCTAAATCTGAACTTTTTGAAAAAAGAGAAATTATAATAATTTCCTCCTGAATGGTTCATCAAGTTTTAGGATAAAAATAAGCGAACAAAATTATTTTTTGTTGAAAAAACTTCTTAAAGAAATAACCTGGATTCGGATCCTTTTTTTTCCAGTGCGGATCCAAGATCCGGATCTGCATCCGCATCAAAATTAATTAGATCCTAACCCTAAGCACTGCCTAGAACCCTTAAAATTATCATCAGATGCTTGAGTGGGAATTAATTTTTGGTAGAGGGGGCGGGGGAGACCAAAGGATTTAGGCAAAATATTTATCCCTATTTACCTAAAGTGAGAGACTCTCGAGTAGCTTGTCTTGAGAGAGTAGCAATATGCTTCTGCACTGTTCCAGTCACAGTCATTATACTCAGTCCTAGTGTTAAAGGATCTTCTGTCGTCTTTACTCTAAAAATACAACTTAAAAAGGCCGATTAGCGTAATTTCAGGTACCCTCCATGGAAAAATGGAAATGTTCGATTAACAACGGTATCCATAAACGCTGTGTTTGATTAAATATGAATTAAATATTGTTTTGATTTTAAGAACTAATTATCATTTTAATGTGGTTTCACAACAGAACAGAACAGAAGTGATTTCGCAGAAGAAAAAACAGATAAAACTAGAAAAATTGCAATATTTACCATATAAAGGTTTTAAGGTACCGTTGTAAATCGGGCATTGTTTTTTTGTCATGAAGGGTCACTTGAAATATCAATTACAGTCTCTTTAAGTAAAAAGAACATTAATCTTTTAATTAAAGATCAATTATTTTTTTTAGTATTACATCTGGAGCTTTTGTTGAAAAAAAACCTTGGATTCTTGATTTTGAAGGCAGTCCTTTTACTAATTAAAAGCTTTTCATTATCTTTTTTTTAAAATTATATTTTGGTGGATCGACGCATTTGCAACTATATACTGCCGTTTGAACTATATCGTTTGAACTATGTTCATTCTATAAACTACTGATAATAACGTTCTTTCCTACACTTCAAACAACACATTATTTACTCATTTGAACTAATAAAATATGTAGTTTAAATTTTATATTTCCTGACAAAATAAATATATAGCAGGGGCGACGAGAGCAGTTGTGTGCTTGAAAACCAGGATATGCTGGGACCCCCCCCCCCCTCTAAATCCCATGTTTGATGTTCAAATATGACAAATGATACTTCATTGGAAAGCTCTTGTGCTCTACTTTTATAATCTGCAAAAAAATTTGCAAATTTGCAAAAATTAAATTTTTTTATCGCAACATACAGTTATATAGTAAAAATGTTTGCAAACAAAAATTTGTCCAAAAAAAGAAAAATTATACATTTTTGAAAAGCCCTTGACCATACCAATTCAAATATGCAAAAAATTTTGCAAAATTTTAAATAACCTAATTTTTTATCAAGAAAAACTAAAAATGTGCAAATTTCCTTTGACAGGTTGTTTGCAAAAAATTTTGCAATTTTTTTTTCGTAAAACTTGTGCAATTCGTTTCCTTATGTCAAAGGCTTTTCAAAAAGCTAAATTTTATCAAAATCTGACAAGTGGAAGTGGGTCAAAACAAAGATTTAGTTTGTTACAGGAAAAAGCAGTCATTCAGGCAGTGTGCCTGAGGACTCAGGCAGTTAGTATTAAAGCCCGGTTTTAGGCCTGAAGGGAGGGCTTTGGGCATGTAGGAGAAGTCGGAAAATTTCAACAGCCTCAGACCAATACTTTTTGAGTTATGTAAAAAAAACTACAGGGGGGGTCAAATTGACCCCCCCCCCCAGCAGGAATAGGGTTAAAGAATAGGATCATCGGAAACAGGATTAATGAATATCATAGGAAATAGGATTAATGGATAGGAAACAGGATTGATGAATATGAAACAGTATTAATAAATAGAAAACAGGATTAATGAATAGAAAACAGGATTAAGGGATAGGAACAAGATCAATGGATAGGAAACAGGATTAATGAATAAAAAACAGGAATAATGGTTATAAAACAGGATTAATAAATAGGAACAAGATAAATTGATAGGAAACAGAATTAATAAATAGAAAACAGGATTAATTAATAAGAAACAGGCAATTAGAGAAGAAGAAACAAGGAAAGAAACAGAATTAACTAAGGTAACTTTGGAAACAGGTTTTAAAATGAAAATAAGTTCTTTTCTTGGTGTGAAATAACCATTATAACTCACGGAAAGTTTTAATATTGAGCAGGAAATCACAAACATTAAAAAAAGGCTTAATTGAAAAAAATTTAAACAAGGAGAGAAAATTCGCCCATTCTATTTTCTTCCATCTGCAGTGTGAGGCGACTTCAAGGTTTAAAATCAATAGAATTCTAACCTAAGTTTCTAACGAGGAGAAGAAATAAAAAATATTTTAGGAATTCTTCTCATAGACACAATCTTTTCCCTATACAGTGTACATGAAAGAGGAGGGAGGGGGGGCGCCTTTCGTTAGTTATAGACTTATAGCAATTTTCACTTTAATATACTTAGATGTTTCATGTTTGGTAGAAAAGCAGAAACTAAGTTTTATTTTATTTGAGATTTAATTACTGTAAAATAATTACTCTATGCAATATTTATATTTGTTTTTGAGTTAAAAATATTATTTTCTTGTTTTTTAAAATTATTTTTTCCTTTTGTACCTTTATATCATATGGTAAGTTCTTTTTTCGTTTTATTTTATTTAATCAAGTTTCTAGTTTGGGGTTTTAAAGGAATTGTAAGCGTAATGTTAAGTGACCCTCCATGCAAAGATGGCAATGCCCGATTCTCATCATCGATATCTTTGAATAATTCATCTGATCAAAATTGTGACAGAAATGAATAAAAATGTTTAGTCTCATTTGTAAGCAAGAAATACGCAAGTCGCTTAATGCAGAGAAACCACAAATCAAAATGAACAGATTTTAAAAACAAAAGCTTGGATATATAATTCATACTTGATCAGACAAAGCTTTAAAGGGTTCCGTTGTAAATCTGGCATTGTCATTTGTGCCATAAAGTTACGCGTGTAAATTTTCTTTAAAGATCAGATATCAGTGTAATTTGATGGAGTATACATATACGTTTTATATATATATTTTTATTTTTTTTATAAATATATATATATAATTTCACGCTTTTCACTTTTGTGTGACGTACTAACTGTATAGAAAATATGATGCCACTAAAAAATAACTTTTAATACATGTTATTGCTTAATTCATGAATTGCCTGTAGGCTGTAAGTGAATGGTTTTATTGTTTTCCCTATTAGGGCCCCCACCATATAGGGGGCCCCCCCCCCCCCCCGTTTAATCCATATAGCCGTATCTAGGATTGTTAATCGGTTTTAAAAAACGATCGAAAAACCGTTTTTTCTCTCAAAACGATTGCATCGCTTTTCGAAAAAACGATGGGTCACAACGAACGTACTCTTCTTCTTAAACTTTTTAAGGAACAAAAAAGAAAACAGCAATAAGATTGTTTTTTAACCGATCGTTTTTGTAAATATTTTTGCTATTTAATCTGAGTTTTATGACAATTTTTCAACATTTTTTTTAGAAAAATAAGTTTATGAATGTTGTCTTTTGATTAGTCCCTTTAATACTTTTTCCAACCAAAAAAAATTTATTTTGTCTAAAAAAGTCGTGAACGATTGTAAACAATCGCTAAAGATTAAAAACGAACAACCTTTGTTGATGAAACGACGAACTAAAACTAAATAACTATTTCTTTATTTTTTAATTTAAAAAACGATCATTTTAAAACGCGACCGTTTCGTTTTATGTTTTTCGTTATAAAAACAAACGATAGTTTTTTGTTAAAAAAGTGAAAACGATCCATCCCTACCTTTTAGAGCTATATCGTACTCGTGTCTTTTTAAATAGGTTAAATTTAACTGAAATAATGAAGAGTTTCTAAGACACAAAGATGTAGGAATACATTTGTACATTTGGGACCAAATTTAAAGAATCGGAGAGGATACTGAACTACCTACAGCCGATTCATATCCTGAGTCACCGATTGAAATCCTCATGAATATTTATCTAAAATGAATAAATTTTAGATTCAGGATTTGAACCGTGGTAGGTAGTTTAGTGACCTCTATTGATCTATAATTTGCCAAAGAAAATGTAAATTTATATCTTCAGAGTTCACAACTTTTTGATTGATAATCTTTGTCGATATTCTTTTCTGGGCAAAATTTTTCATCTTTCTCCATCCATAAACCTGGGGTCATGTTATGATGAATATCATGTAAACCTATAATTGTAAACATGAACTACGTTGTACACTATTAACCCTATTCCTGCTGGAGGGGGGGGTAATGATGTATCATTTGTCATATTTGGACATCAAACATGGGATTTAGAGCGGGGGGGGTCAAATTGACCCCCCCCCCAGCATATCCTGGTTTTCAAGTACCCCAGCAGTGATAGGGTTAACTATCTAAAGGAACTCATTGACACAAACTTTGATTTTTTAATCCCTATATCTTAGCATCCTGATGTCGTAGACCTTTGATATTTCAAACTATGAATTCTGCTGGATCAAAAAATCTAAGTTTGAAATGTCAAAGGTTAACACCATCAGGTTGAAAAGATATAGGGATTAGGAATTTAAGTTTGTGAAAAGAACTCAATTCCTTTGTACATAAATTATCTTAACCTAACCTACGTAAGATGATTATCTTAACTATGCTTTATAAAACACTTTAAAGCCTATAGCTTTATAATTACGTTTGTATATTACAACGTAAAACTTGTAATTACGTTGAATAACTTAATTTGTAACAAAGAACCCAAAATACATTCATGGAACCTTGAGTTCCTGATTGGGTTGTATCTTGTAAGACAGATACCTGATAATACAGACTGAGTTGTATCCAGATTGATATTGAATTTGGAACCGTTCTAGATCAAGTTGTATCTTGTAAAACAGATACTTCAGAATACAGATAGAGTAAGATGTTAGTAAATACGCATGCATATCTTGTACTAAACCTATCCTAGATAAGTATACAGATAACTTCATCAAACCCATATTGTGATTAGCTTAGTGACCGAGTTGAGGCATTGATAGTTTATAAGATCGTGTCTGAGTGGAGGCATTGATAGTTTATGAGATCATTGATAGTTGAGGCATTGCCAGTTCATAGTTTAGAGATCGTGTCAAGTTGAGTCATTGATAGTTTGTGGCAAAGATAGATCGTGTCCGGTTTGACATTGATAGTAAAGTGAGATTGAGTTGTACCTGGATTGGTACTGGTCTAGAAGATTTATTGGAGTAGGTCATTTACTACAATGTGAGTTGCCTTGCCACACAAAATTAGGCCCGATCGATTCAGGCATTTTGGCGTTTATTGGATTCAAACATGCAAACAAACATGCAAACAAACATGCAAATACCCATGCAAACGCCAAATTTAGATATTGATATTACGCCTTTTACAGAGCGGTGAAAACTTAGTTACGAAAACTTCTTTTCTAATAAAGTACTTAATGGCGAAACTAAAAGCTGTTGATGACAATAAGAACGTGCGTTAAATATGTTTGTTTTTCAATAAATCTTTTAATCTTTATGCATTTAAACTTTTATATTTCATTTAGTTTGTTTATAAATTTTTGAAATATTACTTGATTCTATTTGTTCTATTGAATTTCTCATTTGTCTTTCAAAAATATAATCTTTTCTTTTTTTAACGTACAATACAACGTATTATGTATCTACATATTCTATAACGATTTTTATTTTTTTTCATAACATATTTATCTATTTCGTAATATTTCTTAATATTTCAAATTATTATCGATATTTCCTTTCAATTTTTCTAAATCTATTTCGTATCTATCTTTCCATATTTATTTCAATTTTATGCAGCTATATGTATTTTTTTCCTAAAATCTTTCTAATATTCTAACATCATATCTATCTAAATATATTCCAATCTATTTATCTACTTTCTATTTATCCATGGCGTTGTCATTTGTCTAGACATAACTACATCTATATCTTTAATCCTAAATTAATCTATATTAAATTAATTCTATTTCATATGTATCTATCTCTATCTCCAATTTTTCTAAATCCAATCCAGTAATACATCCATATATCTAAATCTTTCTATTTATATCTACTATCTGTCTATCTTTATCTATCTATTATCTATCTAAACATCTATAATGTCTATCTATGTATTTATCTATCTATTTATCTATCTGTATCTATCTGTATGTATGTATAATATCTATCTCCTATCTATCCATCCATGATCTATTATTCCCTCTACATTATTTAAAGAATGTCCTTGCATGTAAAGTATCCTTCAATTACGACCTGGAAGCAGTAGTCTCTTGTGTGCGGAGCTGCTCAGGTCAAATATATTATACAGGGTGTCCTAGGGACTTATATATAAACATATTTTACATACAGGGTGTACCAAGCACTTATATACAATGTACAATATATTTACATAATACATTACATAATACAATGCATAATACATTTACATAATATTATGTCAAATATATTTACTCGGCTTATAAAGCTATCATCCTACATTTTCTGATTTATTTTACATTATGAGTTCGCAGATTTTTCATCTTTCTTTGGGGTTTTCCGAAAGGCCTTTTTTTGAGGCAAAATTTTGTAATTTTGTGAATTTAAAATAATAATGATACGTATATGTTTTATAAAGTGTGTCTCACTTTCACTCACAGGGGGACTATAGTGAGCTTGGGGTTTCAAAATAGTTTGTATCTACAGTGAGAACCAGAAAACTGTGGAATAGGAAGACTGCATCAAAGATATTCTTAAATGTATTTGATGTTTTTACAAAGCAAATAGTTTATCAAGTAACTTATAAAGTCACATTGGTCTTAACACAGAACAATTGTTGTTTCTCATGTTCATTGAGCTATTTCAGATCATATTTGAAGTCTGAACAGTCATCTTCCTATTCCAAATTTTGAGTAAATGCGTTCACCAAAGTTTTAACAAAAGAAATTATAGCGAAAAACTCTGATTTTCTTATACCTATATCTTTGCAAGCTGATGTTCTAGACTTTTGCTATATCAAATTTTGAATCCTGTTAAATCAAATTGTCTTAATTTAAAATATCAAAGGTTTTGCACCATCAGGAATCAAAGTTAAGGGATTAAAAAGTTTCAGTTAGTAGAAAAAACAATTCTTTGTAATCAATAGAAAAGACAGTCTAAGAATGGCTTCATATTTATGTACCAGAATTTTTCATTTTTCAGTCACTAATAAGGGTACAATGCCTCAGTTTTATTATTTATTTAATTTTTTCCAACTGACACTGGTCATGATGCTGGAACAAAGTTGGCCCTAGTCCAAGGTATGACACCTAAGAACTGACCCCAGCAAAGAATGTCAAGATTAGAAAAATGTTTAGAAATTAAACCTTCAGAACAAAATAGAACAGTTGTATGTCTCTCTTGTATCTTTTATACTATGTATAAATAAACAGTAATATAACTATGATTAAAATTTAATCTTTACATATATTCTTAAAATTAATAATAATCTTTTTTAGTTTGAGATCAGTTAGGCAGATTGCAGATTCAACATGTCCGACGACGAGTTCTATGAGGAGGAGACTACCTCCCAAACCTCCAAAAAGGGAGATGAGGCCTTTGCTAAAGCCAAGGCCGGCATTAAGAAATCTGAGCTTGATGACCAGCTCAGAGAATACATCAATGAATGGAGAAAACAGAGAGGCAAGGAGGAGGAAGAACTCAAGAGACTGAAGGAAAAGCAGGCCAAGAGGAAGGAAATCCGAGCTGAGCAGGAAAAGAAGCTTGCCCAACAGAAGAAGGAAGAAGAGGAAAAGATCAGAAAGGAAGAGAATGAAAAGAAGGCCAAGGAAACTGAAGAGAAAAAGAAGAGGATGGAAGAGGCAGAGGCTAAGCGCCAACAGATGCTAGAAGCTCAAAAGGCAAAGCAGAAGGAAGGTGGACCTGGAAAGAAGGGAGGTGCTGGCAGCCAGGTTGCTGTTAATGATGCCCGCAAGGAGATGTCCAAGACCAAAGAGCAGCTGAATGAAGAAATGAAACTTGCCCTTAGCATAAAGATAAAGCCCCTTGACCTTGATGCCCTTGACTCTGATGAACTCAAGAAGAAAGCTGAAGATCTTTTCAACATCATTGTACAACTGGAGACTGATAAATATGATTATGAGCAGAGGAAGGTCACACAAGACTATGAACTCAAAGAACTCAAAGAAAGACAAAAGGTTCAGCTCAGACAGAAGGCCTTGAAGAAGGGTCTAGACCCAGAGGCTCTTACTGGAAAGCACCCACCTAAGATACGTATGTACTCCAAATATGAGAGACGTACTGATACCAGAACCTATGATGACAGGAAAAAACTGTACGAAGGTGGCTGGGAGGTTATCAGGGCTGAAACCCTTGAAGCCATGTGGAAAGAGAAGTACGAAGACTGGACCAAGAGACCTAAGTCTCGTCTTCCCAAATGGTTCGGAGAACGTCCCGGCAAAAAGTCTGGTGACCCAGAGACCCCTGAAGATGAAGAGGGTGAACAGCCTCCCCCAGCTGAACTGGAAGAGGAGGAAGAAGAGGAAGAAGAGGAGGAGGAGGAGGAGGAGGAGGAATAAACTAAGTAAGCTACTCAACCTATATACATATTATTAAAATTATTTATAATTTGAATTTCAGGTTCCCTTTGTAACGATAGACCTCTGATCTGCTTGACATTCCTGACTGGTCTCGCTCTTGTCTCACGCTTTGTCGCCAATACAGCCAAACTTAACAAGATATCAGACCGCCATTCTAATATTTGGCTGTGCATTTTAATTTTTGGGGTTAATTTTAATATTTTATGTAACATCATTAATTTTGGGGCCAAAATTTATGTGGAAGCAACGACCTAGCTATTGGACCTAATAGACATCAAATAAAAATTAATTTTGTTACACCATTGATTTTCAAGACAGTGTTCTTCATATCTCCAAGATTTTCACTAATAAATAAAGTGACAAAACATATTTCATATTGTAAAATTCCGCGCACCTTTAGGAAACTTTTTCAGATTGATTTTATCCCAGCCCAATAGATGGAGTCAATTTCTAAAAGTTTTATGTTACGCCCGCTAATGCTTTTGTAATAAATAAGACAAACTTTAATCATTATACTTCACAATCAACAAAATGATAAGACAACGAAAATTTTGTAATTGCATGCTTTATTCTCTTAGATTCTTCAACAAAGAATATCTAAACTTAAAGATATTAAAAATAATAATCAAACTGTTGTGAGAGAGATAGACAGAGATAGAGAGAACACAATTAAATTTTGGAAATTTTTAACTCTAATCAGACTGTTTGTTGTCAGCTCAATTAAACTTGATAGCTTGGGTTGGCTAAAAATATGAGCCCTCATTAACAATGGTACCCTTTAACCCTTATTCTAATCAAGGATGAATGAAATATCCTTACTTTTCTTGGGATAAAGTGAACATTTGTTATGTGGCTTCTCTGTTAAAAACTGGACAGATACTTTCTGCAGAGACAATAACGAAGGTTATGAGAATTTAACATTTTGCTAGATAGAAAAACAACAATATCTTCCTAATTCTTTCTGAGATGGAGATTAAAAGGTACCATTATGAATCTGACATGCATCTTTTAACTGAAGGATTGCTGAAATTGCATCTACAGTATAAAAAAAAACTTTCTTTAATTCCACATTCCTTCTATAAATGGTTGGGAATTTATGTGAGATCAACCAGAACTATTTTAAAAATACCATCATACTGGACGATCAATTTGATTTTTTCTTTTTTACGGTTTTCAGATAATCCAAAATTTCTGCAAAGTCTAACAAAATGGCAAAATAATATTCTCTGCAAAGTAGTTTAGTCTTTACCACAAACTCTGCTTTTCTAGTCCCTTTATCTTTGCAACCACATGTCATAGATCTTAGATATGTCAAACTATGAATTCTGTTAGATCAAATATAAAATATATATACTTTACTTGTCTGTCTGTTTATTTGTATCCAATAAACGTCCAAACAGCTGAACCAATCAAGCACAAGTTTTTTGTGGGACCTCACATGACCCCAGGGAAAGTTTATGAATGATCAAAATGAAAATTTTGTCTTCACAATTGAAATTGAAGATGAACCCAAAGCGTCCTAAAAACCAAGTATAAAATAATTCAAGTTTAAATATCAAAGGATTATTTACTAGTTAAAATTGCATGTCCTTATCTTCAATAATCTATTTTACCAGCTCCCCAATCATCTGTTCAACTAAGCCTTTTCAATCTGATTATAATTTAGTTTTTTATGCAAGAATTTTATTAGTTATCTAATTACACTATCAAATGGTTTTAACTCAATTTAGAATTTTTTATCTTCAAATTATCACATATCATAATTATTGTCAAGAATCATTTGACAAGATTGATAGAGCTCATCATACTTCCAATACCAGAGGTTACAGAGCCCAGTACATTGCCAGCTATCAGGTTCTCAATGACGTTACCTTCCTCTTGGGATTTCTTCAGATAACTTACCAGGTTCATCAAGATTTTGGGATATGCCCGGAGTCCATTCTAAAATGGAAATCATATAAAGCATTCAAGTTGATAGATCAAAAAGAAAGTAAAGATAGGAATTGAAAATAGTTAAAAGTACAAAGGAAAATGCAAATAAGTTTGATCTGCAGTTGAGTAAGATTTGTAAGATTCTATGGCACAACTTACAAGACTTTAAAGGGAGGGGTAAAATGCTCAACTCCTTACTTCTATGAACTAGTATGAAAAGAGAAATATTATCACAAGGACTGGGGTTGACATATGTGACTTGTTCAGTCAAAAGTTTAACAATGATGCTCCATTTAATTCTAAAAAAAAAATTAATAATTCAAAACTTGTGCACACATGTAGGGATATTAACGTTTTCATTTTTCAGAAATACGATTGTTTTGTTATGAAAACAACGACAAAAAATTGAAAACGAAATGATTGTTTTTAAAAACGATCGTTTTTTAAAAAGTTCATTTTTCAAAAATGGTCGTTTACGATCATTAACATAATTGTCAATAAAATTTTTTTTCAAAAACAATAGTTTTTTTAAAAACAATCGTATAAAAAACGGTCGCAAATCGTTTTAATAAAAACAATCATTTTCAAAAGTTCAAAACGAGTGGGTTGTTTTTAAAAACTATTTTTTTTTTTCCAAAAACGAAACAATCGTTTTTGAAAACGAAACAAAAAACGATCGTTTAACAATCGTTTAACGATCGTTTACAAAAACGATTAACAAAACAACCCTACACACATGTAATCAAGTATATAAAGTATTGTTTGCATGTATCATCTTTAAAAGGCTAACCTTATTTTGCGTTGCTTCACTTTCAAGTAAAGTGGGAAACATTCGGACAGGAAGCATTGAAGCATGAGCTAACTTCTGATCCAAAATATGTGCATAGCAGGAAGCAACCAATCCATTGACATTTAATACACCTTAAGTAAAACATGAGATGATTCTCTAAAAGTTAAACATTTCTAAGATTCAATAAATACCTGCATCAGTAAGTGGAGCATAGAAACCTATTTCTTCAGAGACATCGATAGTTACAACTTTGTCCAATTCTCCTTCATCATTTAACAGATAATCATCCAGAGAAACCTTTCAAGACATTTAATAAAGTAAATAATCTGAAATTATTTTGAGAATAAAATACCTGATATGCGAATCTCATTTCCAGTTCTTCAGTTTTAATCTTAGATGAGAGAACAAGATGATGTGGTGTCAATGACAATTCTCGCCCGGAATCTGTAATAATTCTGACAAACAATGCAGGTTGATCTTCCTCTTTGTGGAGCCATCCAAGGAAACTTGTGCTAATCTTGCTTCCATCTGGGTTTGTTACTATTAACTTATCACCAAGCCTTAGATGTCTTATTTGAATGTTATCATTGTTTTCCAGCTGAACCACTGATGATCCTGAGAAGCAAGAATCAAGTAAAACTGAAAAATCAAGAGTGGAGGTTTGTAAGGGATAGGTGTAAAAATGTATGTTATATGACGATCCAAAAATTATATTTCCATCAACAGTAAATGCTTGGGTTTCTTCTGGTATGCTGTCAAGTGATAATGGACAATCAAAGCTGTTCCATTGTCTCATATACATTTTTCCCAAGTATGGAAATTGTCGTCCACAGTCCTTCAGGAAAAGTGCTGAGGCCTTTGACCAACAAGTATATCTGCTAACTCTTGCTGTTTGGACAGTATTTGATTGTGAAGAATAAAATCCCTGTGCAAAATTAGGAGAACTGGAACCACATGAGCTGGGGACTCCAAATCTAAGTAAACAGTTTCTGTTGCTGAGGGGTCCAAATTGATATGGTGTTGTAAGGGTTCCAGTAACCTGCACAGATTGCCTTCTGCAGGCACATCTTTGATTGTTGGAGTTTAAGGGTGAGGGTAATATAGATTCAATCCATCCTTTAATTGCTGGGTAGTTGGTGTTGATGTAAACTGCGTACTTAACATTGCAAGAAAATGCTACTGTTCTTGAAACAATACCAAGTAGGCGCCCTGTTGAAGTAACAAGTCCGCTTCCCTGATCAAATGCCCCAGGACCACGATAAGGAAGTGCATTGTTCCCAGCACAAAATTCATGATCTGCAAGAACTGGTGCTGTCAACCCAAAAGCGCTTGCCCAGTAGTTTTCACAGGTACTGCTTGAAACAATTGTGTTTGAAGCTATAAGAAGCTGGTTTGAAAGGTTGGGAAATCCACAAGAGGTTGACCCAAATCCAGCAACTGCTCCTGTTCCAAATGGAAACCCAGATCCAAGGGTAGCAGGACGACCAAATGTAGTGAATGAACTACTTTCCAATAATATCATTGCAACCTCAATCTCTGGATTTGGATGGTAGTGAATATACAATATATTTTTTGTTACCTCACCAAAGTCAACACTGTTTCTATTGACATCACCAAGGATAACTTTAGTGTTACTGAGTGTTGTAAATGTGGATAGACAGCTTTTATGGGTCAGCACATAGCAGCTATGAATGAGAACTCCGCTACAGAGGGTTGTGTCAAAGAAACCATCAATGACAATATGAGCATGCCATGGAACCTGTGTAGACGAAGTAACCGGAGAACCACCAATAACACGCTTCTGTCTGGACAAAACAGGGGATTTTTCAGACTCCAAAGAGGCCTCTTCTTTGTAGGCTTGAATGTATTCTTTTGGGATATTTGCCAGGAGACATTTTACCAGTGATAAATCAGGAATGAGGTCCAGGATACTTTTAAAACCACAAACAACAGCATCCTCTTTGCTTTGAATTTCATTTTCTAGCTTTCCAATAGTGGAACTAAGGGAAGCTTGCTTTGAAGTTGAAGAATAACATTCATCTAATTTAGATAACCTTTTGTCCCTCAAGATTTCAAGTTCTAAACAAAGGTATGAGGTAAATGAGCTGAATATGACTGCAATTGTTTTCCAATAAATGATATTAAAATAAAGTACTTAGGATTCATTTTTAACTGGTTCCACACCAATCTTTGCCTGTTTAAACAGAGAAAAGAATGGCTTACAAAAACTTAGGTTGGGATTTGAACTAAACAATTTTCTAAATGGAGTTACTGGCAAACAGGGTTAGTTGAGCATCTATATATAAAGTAATAATCTTTTTATATGTCTCATCATATATCAGAAACCCCTAAAACCGATTTTCCTCAAATTTTGATTGGGAACTCGGAAGAACCACTGCACAGGGGTGTTCTCGCTTTGGTTTAAAAATACTAAATTATAGATTAGTTGACTTTTACAAGGAAAGTTCAAATAAAAGCAGGGTTGCCGAATAAAAAATTAGGATTCTTTTGATATCAGTGATTTGTTTTTAATCAGTATAACTGATATGTGTTTTTAATGATTTGCAGAGTGGTGTTTGCCACATAACAAATATCATTTCTATTGCTAACGAAAATCATAAGAGAGCTAAATGTTTTAACGCTCTTACACAGTTGTGAAAACATATCATTGTATAACTCAGCTTTTCTTTATTGAATTGTCAGCCTGCTCCATTGAGATTTTTTTTAACTAAGTAAAGATGATTTTCCCAATCAAAGTTATGGACAAATTAGACAAGGGGTTCATGAGTTATGATCAGACAAACAGATACTACTACATTATTAATAAAGATGCACCACTCTCAGCCACTTCCTATACAATGAATCTAATGTCCCAGTCAACACCTAATATGGATAATAACCACTTCTTTACTAATTATATAACAATGCTTTTTGGAGTTAGGACGCTTTGCCCTCCTTTCTATTAGCAAATTTAGATTTATTGTTTAGCTCTTTATGTTGCCATTTGGTTTTCGTACTAAACTGAATTTTTGTCAATATAGGTGCAAAGTGTTTATAATGCAAACATTTTGTTTCCCGTAAAATTTGTTTTTACAGTCCAGATTTCATAACAAGGGTAATGTTAGTAGCCACTTGAAAAATGGCCCCAACTGGTTTAATCATTGTGAATTTATTGGACACAGACAGACAGACATACAAAATATAATTATAGATTACTTTTAGCCAAGGAATGAGAATTGTGGCATCTTGAGCTAAGTTCTTGAAAAAGAATATCTCCTGGGTTCTCGATACTTGAATTTGCGAAAACCAAAGGAACTGTTGGAAGACTCTTTATTTGGACTGACTGAAAAAAATGTTAAAGGGTCAGTAAGCATTATTTCAAGAAAAAAGTCCATGCAAAGATGGCAATGTTTGATTCTCTTTGTACCATTAAACTTGTTATATATAAGACTAAGAACACTTTTACCTGGATTGTTCCATTAAAACATCCCTTGTACTCTCCCCCCTCTTTAAGCTCAGTAACACCACCGAGGAGTGTTCCATCATTCCCCAGGGAACAGACAGAATCTAGCACAGGTTTAACCAATTCTTCTCTTCCAAGATCAAGCGGCAAAGGTTTAACCAATTCTGCTCTGAATATGGAAACGAAAACTTATTTTCTTAAAAGGGCTTAATGAAACTACAATAACTATGTTACTTCAAAGAAAATGGAATCGCAACTTAAATGACATTTGAACTTTTACGCAATGGAACTGCGATAACAATGAAAATACATTAACTGAACTGTAATAACATAGCTACTTCAATAACAATATGAAAAAACTACAATAATAATGCAACTACATATATCAACAATATTAATAAAATTATACCAACAATGCAACTGCAATAAATACAATGAAACTGCAGTAAAAATGAAACGTAAATAGCAATGCAAATGCAATTACAATAAACCACAATAACAATGAAACCACAAGTACAATGAAACTACAATGAAACGAAGCCAAGAGAACAATGAAACTAGATAACAATACAACCACATTAACGATGAAACTACAATGAAAATGAAACTACAATAAAAATGAAACTACAATAACGATGAAACTGCAATACAAATGAAACTACAATGACAATAAAACTGCAATAACAATTAAACTGCAAAGTTAAGGAAACAACAATAACAATTAAACTACAATAAAACGATGCTACAATATTACAATATCAAAGAAAATACAATAACAATGAGACTACAATAACAATGAAACTACAATAAGAATTAAACTACATAAACAACGAAACTACAGTGACAATTAAACCATTATAGCAATGAATCTACAATAACCATTAAACGACAATAAAAATGAAACTACGATAACAATGAAACTACAATAACCATTAAACCACAATAAAAATGAAACTACGATAACAATGAAACTACAATAACAATGAAACTAAAATAACAATGAAACCACAATAACAATGAAAATAGAATAACAATGAAACTACAAAAACTATGAAACCACCATAACAAGGAAACTTTAATGGCATAATCAAACTAAAATGACAAAAGAATTGCAATAAGAATGGAAATAGAAAAGTAACGAAACTACAATAACAATTGCGGATTTGCACAGCAGAGATAAAGTAGAAAAAAGGGAAAAATTTACCTTAGTCCATCCTGAGCTTTAGTACTCCCAAACTGGAGAATACCAAGTAATAAAATCCACATTTTTAATACGACACTAAAAAATATAAATATTTTAAAGGACAATCATAATATGAAGGTGCAATCACTTTAAACTGGACTGGACTGGTTTTCAGCAAGGTAGCTAGGGCTAGGTGTACAATAAACAGTATTACATCTATAATATATTTATATATATTTTGCGTGTCTGTTTGTCTGTCCGTTTTTTTCCAATAAACGTTACAACGGCTGAACCGATCGGGCCCAAATTTTGTGTGGGACATCACATGGCCCCAGGGAAGGTTTAAAGATGCTCCAAATTACAAAAATTTGTGTTAAAAAATGATCGACTTTTATTCAATTTTGAGAATGTGCAAAGAAATCTTATTTAATCCGCGCACTTATTTATTTAAACCAAAAAGCTGTAATTTCTGTTTCCTGGTAATATCGGTGGAATTGTAATTATGGAAAACCCGGGCAGCTCTGGGTGTCCAAGCTAGCATTGTATAAAGAGAAAAATGTTCACAATTGAAAAAGAAGGTGTGCGCCAAGCGCCCTAGTATATAAAGTTGTAATCTCTGTCTGTCTGTTTGTTTGTCCGATCAAATCTCAGAAAACCCTTGAGCCGATTTGCCTCAAATTTGGATTTGGGAACTTTGGAGACCCTCGGGACTTATCTTTTGAATTTCTAACTGGGGTGGGTTGACTTTATTAACGAAAACTTAGTTTCACCGTAAAAATCGTCTTAGTGCGGGTAAACGGCGGAAATACCTTTTAGTAACCTTGGCAGCTCTGGGTTCCAAAACTAATACTAAATATAGATGGCTAAAACTGGACAATTAATCATCTTTTTCTTGTGTTGTGAGATTATTGTGCAATGTATTTTTCTTTCGCTCAACTTGGCCAGGACATTTTACATATGATTTTTCCACTATGCTATACAAGTGATTATCGGAAAACTTGGAAATCGAAAGAATAATTTTTGACTCAAGTTATGACGTTAATAGTCCAATAAACATTAGACACCGTACACGGCAATCGTGGAAATTCAATTATGTAAATTCTAGACTCTATCATTTAACAAAAACATCCTTAATCCGTCCAGTTTTTCCGTAGAGATTGGCAATGTTTTTTTTTAACAAACAAGATTTTGAGAACGAACGAAATTTGTTGTGAATAATAGTGTCATTCAGAAAAAACGTGAATTGACGAACTAAATGAATCGTTTAGAGATTTAAAAAATTTTAATCGAACGCAAAAGATTTGGAAAAAGTATCGTTTTTTTACTGAACGAACGCATTTTTTTGGAACACGCTTTTAAAAACGATAGTTTTTCACTGAACACAATGTTTTGGAACGAACGAATTTTTTACGGGACGAACAATTTTACTGAACGATCATTTATTGAGAAAACGAATGAAATAGATGGAAATTGAGTGATCATTTTGAAAATGAACAAAATCATTTTTTTAACGATTTAAAAAAACGAACAAAATGGTCGTTAACGATCGATGAGCGAACGAAACAAAAAAAATCGAACGTGTCCATCTCTACTTCTAGGGTTAAAGCCTAAAAGGAACAACAATTAGATTTGATTTTTTTTATAAACTTAAAATGATAGATATGTTTCTAAGTCTTAGTCTTATTTTTTAAAGATTATTGTTTTTTGATAAAAATAATAAAGAACTATGATTTCATCAAAATTATTTAAAACTGTGGAATAGGAAGAGTAAAGACTATATTTTAGCAATCTAAAGTGTATTTGATGTTGCTGTAAAGCAAAAAATTTATCAAGTAATGAAAAGTTGTATTTGTTGTCTGTTAGGTTATAATGTGCATTTTAAAATATTCTGTAGCTTACCTTTACTGATGAAAAATCAGAAAAATCTGAAATTATAATTCAGATTCAAGCATTTTATACATTTCAAAACACAGTTGTGCACGACTTTAATTACTACATTTGTCAGTAAAATAGTTATTTATGTTTCTAACTATGATGTTACATCATAAATATTTTTATATTTTCTACAGGAACTTATTTTTTCCCAATTCTATGAATTTCAAGAACTTGGGTAGAGACCCAAAGGAATTTTTAGCTTGATTTATGACTTTTATTGAGAAAGTATAACTTTTAAGATATAATAGTTTTAAACTTCCAGGAACTGTACATTTAGTTCGTTCTCACAATTATCGCTAATTTACCATCCAATTTGTTCGTTTTCTCACTGAACGATTGTTCAGTAAAATCGTCCTTTATGTAAAATCGTTTGTTCAACAAATTCGTATGTTCGAGTAAATAAAGTTTGTTTGAGAAAAAACATTCGTTCAGTAAAAAGCCCATCGTTTTTATCGAAAGTTTGATCGAAAAGAAACACAAGTTCGTTATAAAATAATCGTTTTTTATCAAAACCTTTCGGAAAATTTATTGGTTCAGTAAAAAGATCGATCATCAACGATTTTAAAAATTGTTCGTCTCTTTTTTTCGTCATTATATAAAAAATATCGTTTTTCTTCATTTCTCTGAACGATTGTTCATCGACCGTTCTTGTTTTTCTGAACGACACCAGTTTTTACGAACAAATTCGTTGGTTCTTAAAAATTTCGTTCGTTCAAAATAACATCCCATCTATTCTGTATGTCAGATATTACATGTCAAACAAGATAAAAGCGAAAACGGCAGAAATTCTGTAATTCTGCTATTTGTAAATTCCAAACGAAAATATTAGATTTTTTGATCAAATCAAAAGAAATGAAGTGAAAAGAAATTAAAATGTTTTCCATTGTAAGGCTCTAAAATAGACATGAATACATTACATATTAAAAACGTTTCTATATAAATCTGCATATAAAAAAATGGTGATAATTTGGGCCCAATCACATTCAATAAACAATAAACAATCCCTTGGGGTCTCTCTCTCGAAAAAGTAGATTCCTTAAAAAGTAATTCCTTTTCCCCAAAAGAAAATAATGTTTTTCAATAAAAAACAAACATATTTTCTGCTTAAATTAGTTAAGGTTGTAATTTACGCTAAACCCTACCGCCTACCAAAAAGCATAAATGTTTACATGTTTACATTTTTTTATGAAGTTAATTTTTATTTAACCCTATTATGAGCGAGAGCATATTTTTTTCTTAGAATTGGTTAAAATGTTGAACACTATCTACATTTGACCCAATATATATGGGACATTTAATTTACTTTTTATATTTTTTTTACATTTTGGGCTTTGGACAGACGTCGAAATCGACGTTTTTGGAATTGATTCGGAATAACAACAGTCGATGCAATCGTTTTTGAAACCAATAAATTGTACTTTCAGAACAAAATTGGTTATTAAGATATGACAAATGGTGTTTTATAACTTAAAAACAAAAATTTTAAAATAAAATTTCTGAAAACTCTTTTCTGTATCCCATGAGACATGTACAAATAAATCCCATATTATTTTTCAGTAGTTTCAAAGGGACAAAAGAGGAGCATTGATAAGTTAGACAATTTTTTTAATTTTTCCTTTTCCATGTTTTGAAAATGTTGAAAATTCAATGACAACAGCAGAGAAATCCAATAAATGATCATAAATAAAACATTTTAAAGCTCAACAATTATTACAAGACATGGCAAAGCTGTGAAAAATATCATGATGTATATCAAATTATTGATTTTAGTTGGGTTTGATTTGCATTTTCAACTTATTTCTGGCATTTACAAACTCCATCAAATATAGGCTTCATTTCCTACCTTTCAGCTTTCACCTTGTTTTATATCCTTCATTATATTCATTCATTTGACATTAACTACAAAGATCTGTAAAAAAACTGAATTTATTTTTAGTGACATATAAATAGTTTAACTCTAAGATGAGAAATATGTAACTTTTTTAAATCTGTAGAAAAGCTACTCTGCAAAACTTTGAAAAAATATTGTCTTTGTTTTCTAATTTCTAATTTCTAATTTCTAATTTCTAATTTGTAAAATTTTCTTGTCGTCAATGTACTAGGAATATATGTTAATTTCACTATATTAAAAGAGAAAAGTCTTACTTTTTAAAATTTAATTCTTAATAACCTTGATCTTTAACATTTTATTCCCCCCCCCCCCCGGGAGAGCTTTATTCTTAATTTATAACATATAGTGCAAGTACGCTACTGCATTAAAAAACTTGATTTTTGGGTAAAATTTATCTATGTTACTTTAGTAAAGTTGATTGAGTAAGATTATCTGCGCGAAGCGGCAAAAATTTTTTTACATTTTTCCTAATTTTTAATGGTAATCATGGACATGGAGAATGGAGATCAAGTTACTAAACGGGGATATTTGTGTCCTCAAGATTCTAGGGGGATTACCCCAAAGATTCTAGGGGGGGGTAATTACCCCCAGGATTCTAGGGGGGGGGGTAAGTAACCCCAATAACCCCCCTTATTTACGCCACTGGTGAAGGGGGGCGTGGGGGTAGGCGGGAATCTATCTTTTTCAAGAATAGAATAACAAATTCTGTCTTACATCTTTGTTTATTTGAAATCCGTTGACGTCGATATCGACGTTTTTTTAGAGTATCATTTCCGAAAACGTCGATGTCGACGGACTTAGAAATGGTAATGAACACCTAGCTCATAATGACTTTTATGATCAAATATCAATTCAAGATAAAAATTCACTGAATTTTGACACACAAAAAAATCAAAAAGATTGAAAATAAGATAAAAAACTAAAAAAATAGACCATGTTTTACTTTTGACCATATTTTCAGCCTATCATTGCATTTTGGTTTGCTCTGAGAGACTTATGATGCGTTTACAGACATGATTTAAACCGTTCTAACTTAACGTATTTGAGAAATTATTGGAACCAAAAGCTTTATTTTAGACAGGGCATAGGATGTCACAAAGTTAGACATCAATATCGACGTTTTCGCCCAAACTGGGGTTTAACATCTAAATTTAAATATTTTTTCAATCATTATTTCCTCTCAAAATGTTTTTTATTTCTCTCCTTTCTCATATTCCTTTTCTGTTTTTTGGTGGATTTTGTTGAAAAGGAAATAATATAAGTTTATATATGTTTTATTTTGTATACAAATACATGAAGTTCGTTTGGGGCTTCATGCTGGGCCTCCACAACATGGGATGTTATGTAATATTTAATTATATGACTACACTAAACATCCAATTCACAGAATAGAATAATAAAAATAACAAATAACAGGATGCAATATTTCATTCAAAGGATTTATATTTATATAATAAATGAAACATGAAAATAGTTGTTGCTAGATAAATTTAAGGGGCTGTCCACAAAATTTTTAAGTATTCTACCCGATTCAAAGTGGAGCCTTGTCTCTTTTTGGATCGACCATAAGAAGATATCGTCATGTTTCTGTCTTTTAAAAATATAAATTCTCTTATTTTCTTTTCTTTTCACTGCTGCTGAAATGGGCAAGTTCTTATTATAGAAAAATGCAATTAAAAAAAACTAAACAGGGATACAGGGTAGGATTGTGGATCTTTATTCTTTACTTGAAAGTGCCTCTGTACATACAGTGTTTACATTTCTCCCACACAAAATAAAATTATAAAAACATTATGAAATCCTCCCCATGCAGTACATAATAATTGTTTACACATTTTCGGAGTTTTCAAGCTTCTGCTGGGCTTCTAATATGTAATTTAAGATTTTGGTGCTAAACCAATAAAATTGTTATCTTTATTATTGTTCGAAAAAGTCATGTTTTTAATAATTTTGTATCTCCTAGAATAATAAATTTATTTGTTTACTGTACTCTATTATAGTTTTGTTTTTTATTGTTTTAACCCTATCCTGATTAGGCTATTTTTGTCCAATATACTCCCCTCCCCCAGGGGTGTAATCTGTCGTCTTCGTAATAAGGACAGAGATCAGGGACAGAAGGGAATCGGTGTTAGGTATAGATCATGTAGTGACATACAGTACAAAGAAAAATGCGGGTTGCGGCATCTGTTTATATACAGTGTACACAGCTCTGGGGTTTGTAAACAGTAGACAGTAAATTTTTAGCATCATGCGATACTGTTCTGTGGTTATCTTTACCACAAATGGTTCTCATGTTGATATGAGAATCCATACTGTTCGTGAAGAATAGAAATCTTTGAGCTGTTGGAAAAATATTCCAACTTTTATCTGCTCTCGTCATTTTACTCAAAACTCTTACAGTAAATCAAAGAAGAAATTTAAAAAATCCGCTAAACCCACAGTGTTTTTGCCAACACAGATCCTGGCAGAACATAACCATGCATTCCCTGATAATAAAGTGTTAAAGAGAAGGTAATAAAATGTAGACATATACCAGATTTCAAAGAAAAATTAATATTTGCATTCTCAATAAGCATAATTTGATAAAAATGGTCTGCAATCTGATTACAATTAGTCCAGGGCATGAGGGGGGGGGATGAACTAGGGGAGAAATATATTAAGGTAGGGGGGGGGGTTACACCCCCCCTAATGGCGACGCTGAGTTATCCTTTTATCCTTTTACAAAATATCCAAAATGTACTTTTG